AAGAGTGCTGTATCTCCTTTTGCTTTTATAGGCAGCTTATGAATGGCAATAATGTTTGTTTTTTTTTTTAATTTTTTTTTAAAATGTTTATTCAATTTTGAGAGACAGAGACAGAGCATGAGGGAGGGAGGGGCAGAGAGAGAGGGAGACACAGGATCTGAAGCAGGCTCCAGGCTCTGAATTATCAGCATAGAGCCCGACGCAGGGCTCGAACCCACAAGCCGTGAGATCATGACCTAAGCCAAAGTCAGATGCTCAACTGACTGAGCCACCCAGGTGCCCCTAATGTGGTTTTCTTAAGATGAATTTTCAGCTAAAAATAAGATTAAATGGCAGGGTGGCGTTGGAAGCAATTTGTTGGTCATAACGTACATTGAAGATTCATCCAGATCAATGGCAGGAACCAGGACAGTGTCTACTAGACTTTCGGAACTTGAGTGATATTGCCATGGCCAAAATGTCATCATTCTACTTTTTTTTTTTTTTTTCACTTTTGCATTATGTATGGAGATTCTCTGTTCAGTAGCACAATTCCTGTCGGTTTACTAAAGGTTTGAAAAAATGAGAACTTTTTAATATCTAGATCCTACATAGGTTGAGACGTTATCACTTAAAAGCCTTATCTGTAGGTGGGAGGGTTAAGGAACCAACAAAATGAAGATCTCTGATATCTGGGATTTCAGTTTTGCTATTGAATACCCAGATGTTACTAGAATTGCTTTCCCACAGTGGCTTGTGCTCATTGTAAGACTATCAGTTACAGGGCGGCTGGCTGGCTGAATCAGTAGGGCACAAGACTGTTGATCTTGGGTTTGTGAGTTCAAGCCCCACATTGCGCATGGAGTCTACTTGAAAGAAAGGAAGAAAGAAAGAAAGAAAGAAAGAAAGAAAGAAAGAAAGAAAGAAAGAAAGAAAGAGAAAGAAAAGAAAGAAAAGAAAAAAGAAAAGAAAGAGAGAAAGAAAGAAAGAAAAAAGAACTTACCAGTTACCATCTTCTGGTATTCATTACATAGCATTAAATCATGAGGCTGGAGAGAGAAATGGCATAGCATGGATTTTCAGCATTTACATATTTAGAAGTCATTTTGAAGTTGAATTTTGGAACTTTGACTTACAGAATCTAGAGAAACAAAATAAGATCACTGATCAGATAAGTTTTACACTTTCCCCACCTATAATCCATGCCTTTTTCTGTATTGGGTTCTTACTGAACAAAGACTATCTCAAGAGGACTGAAACTTGTTACCCTCAATGGTGTTATGAGTGGTGTGGAGCATGCGGGCTGAGGCCTGTAACGTGTGCATGGAATCCATGTCTGCAGTGCCCTGCCTGCCCAGGTCCTGGGGCTGAGGGTGGGCTCTGCTCTCCATGCATGAATTCACAGACAACAGAAATGATGTTGGAACAGTGGGAATCAGCAATTTTGCACAGGAAGCTTTGGGAGATGTTGTTTAATGTAGTCTGCCTGAAGTTGGGACCAAACTGAACAAACAAAATGAGTTTGGTGCTTTGGACAGTGTGAAAGCTGCTGGTGAACTCTTATTCTCCTCTATCAGAAGAAGTAACTGAAATTAATGAAGCTCTTAGAGAAAATCCAGGACTTGTCAACAAATCTTGTTAGGAAGATGGTTGGCTGATCAAGATAACAGTAATCCTTCAGAATTGGATGAATTAATGAGTGAAGAAAAATATAAGAAATACATAAAGTCTATTGAGGAATGAAAGTGGAATCCCTAAATAAACTAGTATAAACCAAAAAAAAAAAAAAGAAGAAGAAAGAAAGAATTGTTTTCTCAGACAACTGGTTTTGCAGTCACCTTGAAGTCTTGTAGGTTATGGTCAGTTGGAGAAGAAGGTGACCAGTGATCATTAAATTCAGTGTACTATCACAAGCTAGATTAACTTCATCTAATTCCATTTATGAGCCAACCAGTCTTAGGATTTAAATTAAAATGGAAAGATCCTAGAAGCACGGCCTGCCTATGTATATCTTTAGTTCCTGTTTGATTATGTTCTCCTTTAAGTCCAGAGAATATATATATATATATATTTTTTTCAACATTTATTTATTTTTGAGAGAGAAAGAGGACATGTGCGCAGAGAAGGGCACAGAGAGAAGGGGATAGAGGATCCAAAGCAGGCTCCACATTGACAGCAGAGCCTGACAGTTGGCTCGAACTCCCAAACCGTGAGATCATGACCTGAGCTGAAATCAGATGCTTAACCGACTGAGCCACTCAGGCACCCCCAGAGAATATATTTTTTGATGGACTTTCTCATTTGTAATGAGGCTCTGGGCGTTTCTCATGGATCATGGACATTCATGAGTTTTAGGCAGAAGATCTCAGCATGCACTAAGTGAATTGGTCATTTTTTGGGCAAATGAGTGTATCCAAACCAGGGAAATATGAATACTAATAGATCTTGGTTCATTTTAAGGACCAATGAAGAACAAAGCAGTCTCTGTTGTGATTTAAAAAAAAAATTTTTTTTTACTGTTTGTTTATTTTTGAAAGAGAGAGAGAACAAGCAGGAGAGGGGCAGAGAGAGGGAGACACAGGATCTGAAGCAGGCTCCAGACTACGAGCTATCAGCACAGAGTCCGATGCAGAGATTAAACCCACAAACTGTGAGATCATGACCTGAGCCAGTCAGAGGCTTAACCAACTGAGCCACCCAGGTGCTCCTGTTGTGATCTTTTTGTATATTTCTCATTTACTAAGCACAGTTAATTTAAAAGTGGTTTTGGCTCTTGTGGAAGCCATTTCTACTTGCATTAAAATATTACAGAACTGTCAGGCATTCTGTTTATATTTCTGTTTCCTGTGATGCCACATTTAAATAGAGATTGGTAGGGAGGTAGGTGAGAGGCTATTTAATGTTAACTCTTCTTACTTTATCAAGAAACTGAAAGTTGAATCAACTTCTCAGATTTCTTTTTGAAACTATCACAAAGGCTTCTCAAGCTCTAGGGTTCTTTCTACCCTAGGAAATATTTTACTGGACTGGAGATCACTCAAGTGGTCACCTTTGAGGAAATGCAGTCATAGTCTTCATGTGCATTATCAAGGACCTACTGTACTCTTCCTTGGAAAGAGACTTGGGGGCAGATCTTTGAGCCGGCAGTGTCACTAACTAGTTTTACCTCCCCTCCTTTCTTCATTGTATGAGGAATTCAGGCTGATATATATCACCTATAGTATTGTGGACTTGCTTTTTAAGCAAAGGAATGGTGATATTAGTGAGAAATTTGGATAGTTTAGTTTGAGATGGAAGTATATAAGACCAAACTGAATAAGACTTCTTAAGACTGCCTGCTCCAGGGGTGCCTGGGTGGCTCAGTTGGGTGAGCGTCCAACTTCGGCTCAAGGCATGATCTCATGGTTTGTGAGTTTGAGCCCCGTGTCGGGCTCTGTGTTGACAGCTCAGAGCCTGGAGCCTGCTTCAGAGTTTGTGTTTCCATCTCTCTCTCTCTCTCTCTCTCTCTGCCCCTCCCCCCCCATGTTCTCTCTCTCTCTCTCTCTCTCTCTCTCTCTCTCTCTCTCTCAAAAATAAACATTAAAAAAAAAATTTAAAGACTGCCTGCTCCAAAGAGAACAGGTGGTGTTGTGTAAGGGGACTCTTGTTTTCTTATGCATTTGTACTTCAGGAGGAAGTGATGGGAATACTTTGGTAATATATGTGCTTCGTCACAGACAGTCACAACTTTGAGTGATAATCACAGGAAGAAAGCTCATTGATCAGGATCATACACATCCCTGGAGACTGTTTCATAGTGATTAGAGATTTTGCCTTTAATTGGGGGAGGAATCATAGTTGGAGAGTTATGGGAGAGGAGTCTTGAATGAGTAAATTATTTTATTTTTGCATTTAACTCATACTTCCTAAATCACAGAAGCATGGTAAAGATTCTTTTTGAGCTTTAAGGGAAGGCTTTGGCCCACACATTCTCAGTGATTAACTCTTGATTCCATGTGTAGATGATCTGTTTTGTGCACATTTAAAATTCAGAATGATTTTTGCAAAACCAGTAAATGTGATTTGGGGCCTTTTTTTCCATCTCTGCCTAATTTGATATGTTCTGAGAATACAGGGTAACTTGGATTATTAGATGTTTTTGGATTACACATTCCTTCACTGTATGAGGGTACATATTCAAGACTTTCCTTTATGTGGGTGCATACTCAGAAACTTCACATATATGCATTAATTTCTTCATCAAATACTTACTGACTCCCTGCTATGTTCCACACCCTGTTCTAAAAGTTTGACAGGCATCTATGAACAATAAACAAAAATCTCTAACCGTTTCTTCATGAGGATTATTAACTCTTTGTTATTACAAGATGGTCCTTAGAATACGTTTATTCCACTTTTTGTTAACCCGATTTTAAGGAAGAGCAAAACTAAGGATACCTGACTTCAGGAAAGGAGTTTTTGCCACAGAAACCTTTTGCTAACAAAATGCCACTGTTACATCATTTTTAGACATTCCTTTAGAAGTTTGGACCACACACAAATATCAGTCACAATGCTTTATAATCCACCTTCGCTTTGTACATCCATCTCTCTCCAAATTTGCTTGCTTATTCATTCACTAGATTTACCATTGGCTTTGAATGACTTTTAACTTTCTAAAAATAAAGATCCACCCTTAAAAGCTGAAAATTGTCTTTGAAGATATTTCAAACACTGTGTTGGAGGTAATTTTAATAGCAAAAATTAGATTATGGGCCACTTGAAAAGAGTAGCACTCTGTTGTCCACATCATTTCTGGCATGCTTATTGAAAGTAAGCCTTACTTGACAGTGACCTTGAACATGTTCTCTGTTAAGTGCATAGCAGAATATACCTCACCAGTATCAGCCTGAGCTTGACTTATAGATGATTCTGTGATTTAATTGGTAGTAAGTAGGCTTTTTTTGTTTTTTGTTTTTGTTTTTGTTTTTTTTTTTTTTTTTTTTTTTTTTTTTTTTTTTTTTGTTCTTCCCCCTCACCAGGTATACAATGTTTATATGGCAGGGAGGCAGCTGTGTTCTAAGCGGTACCGGGAGTTTGCTATCCTACACCAGAACCTGAAGAGAGAGTTTGCCAACTTTACATTTCCCCGACTTCCAGGGAAGTGGCCATTCTCTTTATCAGAACAGCAATTAGATGCCCGACGTCGGGGGTTGGAAGAATATCTAGAAAAAGGTAAGTTGGCCTATTAAATGCTACTACCTTAAGTAGACTTGGATTCTAGGTATGTGTTGCAACTCCTAAACCGCATGGCTAAGTTTCCTGAAACTGAATAGTGAAAGTAAATCAAATTTATGACCATTGGTGTTGAATGATGTGAGCTTTGAAGCCAAAACTGAAATGTCCAATACAAGGATTAATAGCCTATGTTATTGACTTGCTGAGCACTTAAAAACAGAAAAATGCATAATTAGTTTTTGATGAATTAGGGACCTTTATTGGGTTATGTTATTTGCCAGCAAACACGTACAGACCTACTCATCAACATGGTGAATTGATTTGGCAACTAAGTGGGCTGTATTTAAAACATTTTTTTTTTTGAAATGACTCTTAGTTCACTGGCATATCCTACTTGAAAAGTCCATTTTCCTCTTACAGTTGTCCATGGATAGGTTTGCCGAGTTGTAGATATCTAAAGTCCCCTTGATCTAAGCAGGTTATAGGTGGAAGTATTGAAACTACTTGTTATCTCAGGACTTCCAAATAGTACATCAGGAGTTTGTGGATGTGGATGCTGAAACATTTGGTTATCGGAAAGTCAAGGAGAAATGACCCAGATCTCCGGAATAAGATAGTTCATTTTGTGGCTCAGAGAAGAGACCTTGCTTCGCTACATTATAGAGTTATATAATTTGCCAGTTGTGCAACAGGCTTCTCTTTAAAATACTAATTTAATAGAAAAATAGTCTTATGTGATATTTATTAATTCTGTGTCCTTGTGTAAGAACTAATTGACCTAGTTGAATTTTTAAAAATTTTAGTGGAGAGCCTTATCCCTGAAGAAAAACTGTTTCCCCTGTAGAAGGTAGTGAGACTTCCTCATCTGTTTTTAGCTTTTTTCTAACATGGAATGGCCTCTAAACACAGCCCTTGGGAAATAAAAAGGGTATAAATTTTTTTAATAAAATGAAGTGAAGTCATCAGTATAACTCATTATCCTCATGAGAGTGTCAGGAAATTAACTTTCTTAGATTTAGACAATTAGCTACTTTCCTTCCTTCCTTCCTTCCTTCCTTCCTTCCTTCCTTCCTTCCTTCCTTCCTTTTAAAGGTTGTTGTTTTGAAGCTTAAGTCAGCGAGGTGAGAAGATGCGCTGAGCTTAATACTTAATTACCTACCCATTTTTCCCAAAGTGTTTTTAACTGCTTATGGTTCTCTGACTGGCCTCGTTCCTAGGTAGACCAAGTATACATTTTTCCTTCTGTATTTCAGTTTTGTGTTTGCTTTATTCCTGATTGACCTTACCCTAGCTCTGTTGTCTGGCTTGGTCTTCGTTCACATGAGACTGCAAAGTTAGATTTACTGAAGTGTTATTTTGAATGACTTCCTTTGGCTATGTATAATGTTTTTAGCAAGCTACATCTTTGAACATCCTAATTTTCCTCTGTTGTGGTTCATATTTATATGAATGTTTGTTGTGCCTTAATGTGTTATACATCAGGAATGACCACCTCAGCATTGCCTGCTACTGATGATTTATACTTAAACCTTGATACATTGTTGACTTTATTTATTTATTTATTTAAAAAAAAAATTTTTTTTTTCAACGTTTATTTATTTTTGGGACAGAGAGAGACAGAGCATGAACGGGGGAGGGGCAGAGAGAGAGGGAGACACAGAATCGGAAACAGGCTCCAGGCTCTGAGCCATCAGCCCAGAGCCCGACGCGGGGCTCGAACTCA